ATGTCATTAAAAAGCCTCTAAATGTTCTGCTTGTTACATTTGGCTACAGGAGAGGGGATTCTATGCTTATTTCAAAGACAAACTAAGCCTGTTTTGCCAAAAGTCGTAACTGTGTTCAGACTCCCATGCATAAATTAAGAGTTGGTGCTTACAGTGGACCTTTTCTCATTAATGTTCTGAAAAGATGAATAAAACAGAATTATTTGTATTTTTATTCTTGTCTTACAGGGAAAGGGACAGTAACTATACTCCCCAAATCATAGATCTTTTTAATTTTGAAGTGTTTGGATGTTTACAGAAGATCATTTGAAAACTGCTTTAGGAATCAAAGAGCATGGATCCCAGCAGTGACTACCATTTCCTCAATCAGATTTTGTGGCAAAGAGTGAAACTCACTTTGGTTTCTGGCATCTTTGAAGGCGTGCTCCAGCATGTGGACCCTAATAAGATTGTTGTCCTGAAGAAAGGTCTTGTTCAATTTTCCTATTCTTTTGTTTGTTTTAAGAAGTTAATGGCTGATTGTGAGGGATATCCTTGGGCTCATTAGCAACTGGGAAAGTGCTGTTATTTCTATTTTAGGGGAAAGATTACAGGAAGATGACTGTTTTCTGTAACAGAGGAATGTGTGTGCATAAGCTAGTTGGTTCCAATTTCTTTTTCTTTCTTTTTTTGAGATAGGATCTTGCTATGTAGCCTAGGCTGGCCTTGAACTCGAGATGACCCTCCTGCCTCAGCCTCCTGAATGCTGGGATTACAGGTGTGCACCACCTGTAATGCCTTGCCCATTTCTTTACTTTTATTGATGTGATAATGGACATTTTCAATTAGATACTTCTTAATTTCACTCCCTATGCATCTTGAGGTTAAAAGTAACTATTTTGTTAAAATTGCTGTCTGCTTCCACAGGCAAATCACAAAGCTAGTTAATTTTTCTCTTAGCAGTAAGTTGCTGAGCAGTTCAGTGGCTGGAAAAGCGATAGCTCTTCTACCTCTCACTATCTGTCATTCTCATGGGTCACAGGGTAGTCTGCATCTCTCAGCTGCACTTCTGGTTTCTCAGAAAGGACACAACTGTCCAGGTATTGTGGCACCTGCCTGTACTCCTAGCACTCAGATGGCTGAGGCAGGAGGATTGCTTTGAGTTCAAAACCAGGTAGCCTGGGCTACATAGTGAGTTTAAGACCAGCCTAAACTACCTAGTAAGCCCCTGTCTCAAATAAACTTAAAAAAAAAAAAAGAAAGAAAGAAAGAAACAACTGAGGAACAGAGAACTGGAGGAGAAGATACGAAGATACATAGGAAAGTGTGGGAGAGAGGTGCAGCCCTTCCACATACTCCCTGGTATACCAGCCTCCCAGCACAGGCAGGTGTTCACCATCTTGGAAGTTCCAGTATATAAAGTTTCTACTCACCTAGATTATTGATTGGCTAGGGTAGTTTTCCTTGCATGATAAATTTCAAGTTTATAATGGAAACAAATTATGATGGTATTTGAAAGATTAGTTTTGTTGTTAGACCATATTTTGAGTGAAAATAGGCTTTCATGGACTAGAATGAGACTGTAACAGGCTTTTGCAACATTAATTCAGTAAGTATTATTTTATTGGTTGTTTTATACCCCAGGTACTATGCTTAGTACCAGGAATATAGATCAGAATAACATGGTCACAGCCCTCAAAGATCTTAGTCTATAAGGAGAAAAATATGCAGAGAAGTGTTACAGACTGATCATCTCTGATAGAGGGAAGCCAGGTGCTTTGGAAGCAAAGTCCTGCACGTTTTCATCTGGGAGTGCTTGGGTGAGGATGCTGGGGAAGGGCCCAAAAGGGGGAACTGACAGAGGACTGCATCCCGTGTGTAGGAATTCACAGAGGCAGAGGGGAAGGTTATTCAAGCACGTGATGTTTAAACTCCGTCGTACAGCAGAATCACCTTGAGCACACTTTAAACAGCGTGCTGGGCCCTGCTCCCAGAGTTCTCATTCTCAAGTCTGGACGGGCCTAAGCATTCGCACTTATCGCAAGTTTTCCTATGATGCTTGGCTTTGGAGCCACATTTTACAAGGATCGTTGTTTTGAGTAGAAGTGATAGAATGTCCAAATATGTAGAGGCCTAGAAACTTGGCACCTTCAGAAATCCGAAGAAGGTTTCTATGTGAGGATGTGAAGAGGGATGAGTCTGGAGGTGTAAGCAGGGGACAGGGCAGAAGGACCTCACATT